AGCTTAGATTATATCATTAGAGTAATGAGATCTACAAGAATCATTTTCCATCAGAGAAATATGCTTCCAGAAGGCATATTACAATACTTAGGAGATGAAGAAAGCATTGTCAAATACAAAATTGAAAACTTATTTCAATAGGTTGTCTTTTCAATTCATTGGTGGTTTCCTCTGTAGTGTGGAAGCTCTTTAGTTTAATGTAGTTCGACTTGTTTTAATTAATTAATTAATTTATTTATTTTTTACATATTTTATTGATTTTTTTTGCCCCCCTTCCTCCCTCCCACACATCCCCTCCCTCCCCAGAGTTTTATGTCCATTGGTTGTACTTATATGCATGTATGACTTGTTTTAATTTTTGCTGCCTGTGCTTTTGGTTACTTATCTGAGAATTCATCGCCAAGGCTGATATCAAGGATTTTTTTCTGCTTTCTTCTAGGAGTTTCATGTCTTACATTTAAATGTTTGATCCATTTTGAACTTATTTTTGCGATGGAATAAGGGGGCCAGTTTCTTTCTTTTGCATGTGGTTGTCCATTTTTTCCCACAACCATTTTTTGAAGAAATTGTCCTTTCTCCATTTTACGCTCTTGGCTCCCTTGCAAAAAATTACTTGGCCATACATGTGGGGCTCCCTATTCTGTTTCACTGGTCTATGGCCCTGTTTTTAATACCAGTATCATACTGTTTGATTACTATAGCTTTGTAATGTAGCTTGAAATCAGTAAATGTGATGCCTCTAGCTTTGTTGTTCTTTTACTTTTTAATTAAAACTTACATTCAATATTATTTTGTAGAAGTTTCAGGGGAACAGCATATACTTTACATAGTTATTATAATACTAGTGGCCTGGTGCACAAAATTCATGCACATTAAAAGGGCATTAGAGAAAATATTTTAATATTGCTATTTGCCCTTCCTCTATAACAGAAGTGTCAAAGATGAAAGAAAATAAGTAAAATGTATATGAAAATCTTCCTCCTCTCAGAGTCTGGGGTGTGCCTCAAAATCCAGAGTCATGTCTCTGCCCACACACATGGAAATCATGCAAAACCCAGACTCGGCTGACCCTATCCCCATTGGGCGAGATCCAGATCTGTCTGGCCCCACCCCAGTCAAGCCCCGCCAGGCAGGGGTCACACCCTCAGGTCAAGGTGGGGGCTTAGTCTGAGATCCCCTGGCCTGGTGCTGGGGCTGGGGGTGCAGCCTCAGGTTCCCCACTCCAGCCAGGCACCATGCAGCCTCAGGTCCCTTCTCATCACTCGTTATGGCTCATTACCAGAACCCTGCCTCTGCTGTGAGTGCAGCCATCTTGTGAAGGCGTGATGGAGTAGCATCAATTTGCAAATTACCTCTTTATTAATAGGATTATTAACTATATTCCCTATGCTGTACTCTACATCCCTGCAATTATATTGTAACTACCAATTTGTACTCACTTTTTTCACCCAGCCCTCCAACCCACTTCCCCTCTACCATTGGTTTGTTCTCAGTATCAATGAATCTGTTTCAATTTTGTTTGTTTTTATATTCTATCCTTTAGATTCCATATATAAGTGAAATCATTAGGTATTTGCCTTTCTCTGACTGACTTCACTTAGCATAATACCCTCCCATCCATGCTGTTGCAACGGTAAGATTTTATCCTTTTTTCATGGCTAACTGGGTCATGCTCTGATGTGATCTGAAGCCTGTCACCAGGCATGTTAGTTCTGGAGTCTCATGGGAGGGACTCCAGTATATGTCAGACACTGCCTGTGACCCATCCTGGGCTACCCATTTGGAGCTACAAAGTGATCCACAGTTTGCTGCTGGGGCTGGGTACATATGGGAAAGGCCAATCTATAGATCAAGCACAGCTTCTACCATAACTGAGTCTAAAGGCAGATCAGCAAAAAGTCCAAAGCCCTAAAGGCAGATCAGCAAAAAGTCCAAAGCCCTCTGAGATTTGCCTCCACCTGCAGCTGTTCCACCACCCCTTGAATCTACCTGGACTCCCTTGAGAGCTTTCTAAGAAAGTCTGCACAGTGGGCTTAAGCTGGCTTCAACCAGCAGTCTCCTCTGCATGGTAGTGCTGGAACCTGCAGGCAACAAACAGTACCTGAGTTGAGGGGGTGAGGATAAGAAAAAAGACAGACAAGAAAAGATGGGGTTGGGAGGACTGAGACCGGAGTCTGCAGTCCTGAGTTTATTCCAAACAGCATATTTAAGCACACACAGCAATCTAGGCAAAAGCAGTAAGCTCCTTGTTTACGAAAATATTTTTGTGCAACTAAGTCTACTGACTATTTTTTAACCAAGTCAAGTAGATGTCAAGGCTAGCAATGCCACAGTCCTTGTGCTGCAAGTCAAAACAATTCCTGATAACTGCAAACAGCAGTAGTTTTCCACTACCTGCTGTGCAGTGAGTGAGGAAAAGAGAGCTATGTCTCAACAAGCGAGACCCCTGCTTTCAGGGCAGCTCCCCACATGGTAGAGTTTGCAGTAAGGAACCACAAAGAGTTGGGAGGATGTGGCTAGCGGGTTTCTTATGTGGGGGGTGACACTGATCAGGCACATACTCAGTGTCTCCACATGCCCATCTCCAATATGCCGAGTCTGTCTAAACATTCTTAAGAACTCTCCCAGGAAGTGTGCATTGCAGGCCCAATCTGGCTGCAGCCAGTAGACTCTTTCGCAGGGTGTAAACTCAGCAGGGTTCGGCCACCTTGGGTGGGGAGAGTGGAGGTATTGGATCTCCTATGTGGGGTGATCTAGTCAGGTCCACAAGTGTGTGTGTGTACGTGGGGGGAGGGGGGGGTGGTGGCTCTCACCTGAGTAACACAATTTAGTCTCTCGCTGTGCCTATCTCTGACACCTCCTAAGACTGCCCAGTCCTCCTCAAGAGCTCTTGGAGAAAGTCTGCATCATGGGCTCATCCCAGCCATAGCCCACCGACTCCTCCACAGAGCTCAAGCTCAGCAGGGCGGAGCTACGGGAAGTCAGGAAGATGGGGTTAGTGCATTCCCCAGACTGGTGTCCTATGGAGGGGAGTACTTGACCCAGAAAAGATGTTGTAAAGATGGTGTCTATGGGCAGTGGAGGTGAGACTCAGCACAAGGACCAAGTGGCTATCTCTCTAACCCTCTCCTTGGGAACATACAACCCAGTCCTGCTCTGTGTGACTCCAGTCCTCTCAGAGCTGCTTTTCTCCGCCAGAGCCCTGAGCGAATAGCTGAGAATGAGATTATGTGTTTGGCATGGGAAGGTAGCTAGGGGTGACCAAGCCTGCAGGGAAGGGCAGTTGAAGGTGACAAGGCCAACAGGGGAGGGAAGTTGGGGGAGACCAGGTCAGTAGGGAAGGGCAGTTGGAGGTGACCAGGCCTGCAGGGGAGGGCAGTTAGGTGCAATTGAGTCGGCAGGGGAGCAATTAAGCATTGATCAGGCTGGCAGGGGAGTGGTTAGGGAGTGAGCAGGCTAGCAGGCAGAAGCGGTTAGGAACATTCAGGCAGGCAGGCATGTAAGCAATTGGGAGCCAGTAGTCCTGGATTGTGAGAGGGACATCCATCGAGGGGTCCCAGATTGGAGAGGGTGTAGGCTGGGGTGAGGGACACCCCCCCCCTCCTTGTGCATGAATTTTGTGCACTGGGCCTCTAGTTTTTATATAATGATTTTGCATCCTGCTACTTTACTGAGCTCATTTAATAATTGTAACAGTTTTTTAGTATAGTCTTTAAGGTTTTTTATATATAAGCTTATGTCATCTCTCATTAGTCAGACCCATCTCATTTCTTCTACTTCTGCTTTACATTCAACTCATTCATTTATAAATGTTTATTGAGCATTTACAATGCTCATAATTCATTTATCTCCATCAGCAAAGGCAAGTCTTATGATTACATAGAGGCATAACACTGAGTTCTCACTTCTAAAGACAAGCAGCCCAGGGAAAATTAATGCTGATCAAGGAGGGAAACAAACACACATCAACAACAGAAGAGCTACCACACCAGGTATCTAGAAAAACCTGCTCAGACCTGCATGTTTGAATATGAAATAATAACCAAGAACCATCAGACAGAGAATTACACTAGCAAGAATGGGAAAGAAATAGATTAAACACGCATTAAAAGGGACACTTGAGGGGTCATAATTTACTAAAAAAGAGGTACCCCAGCAAGATGGATACAAAGAAATGTCGGTGGAAACCCAGAAATCAAGTGAAATCAGATAACCCCTCTGCAGGAAAGGCAGAATCAGTCAAAGTTAGAGCAGCAAGTGAGTGGGTTCCTAACCTTCAAGAATAATTCATTGGATTTCAAGCCATAAAGATGAATGCAAAGCTGCAAGATCGTGGAGGTATCTTGAAGGTTACAAGGAAAAGAACACCAGTTAGAAACACTAGTCAAAGAAATGAAAATTGTACAGTGAAATCACTATTCAATGCAAAGCAAAATAAAATATGAAACAATTCTGAGAGTAGTAACAGAAAAAGAGTGGTCGTTTGTTTATCTTGGTATTTCCCTCCTCCTGTGACACAGAGGTCCTCGGTTGGGCGCCGAGGCAGTCCGTCTCCCACGAGCTCACTCATGGGTCAGGGACTCGAGGTGGTTACTTCCGGTGAGTGGCCGCACAGCCACAGAAGCGGGACCTGAGGAGAAAAGGTTCAGGTCCAGCTTCCCCAGGATCAAACTCACAGGCGCTTCCTGAGCTTCGCCGCGTCCATCCGCCGCGCTCCCACCCCACTGAGCCTGCGCCAGCCCGAACGCGCACGCGCCAACTCCGGCCCAATCAGAATCGCAAACCCAAATTCCAGGTGGAAGGACTAAACGCGGGGCGGGGCGGGGCGGGGCGGGGCGGGGCGGGGCGGGATCTTCAGGCCGAAACGCGGACGTGATTGGCCGGTGGAGGGGGACACGGGTTCTCATTTAGGCGAAGCCTCGCCCGCCGGCCGAGTGGAGTAAACTGTTCTCCTAATTTGGGAAGCGGCCAGCGCGGGCCTGGGCGGGGCGGCGCCGAGCGCGCCTGCGCAGAGCGCCCGCCGCCCGCCGGGGCGTGTTCTCTGTTTGGGGATTGCCTTAGCTCGGTTGGGGTGCATCCCTCGCCCGCAAAACGCGCCCTGCGGGAGCCTGCAAGTTTCCACGAACAGCCCGTTAGTTAGGGGCTGCCCTCTGAGGTGAGTGTGTGCGGCGTTGCATTTGGCCTTGCCCGTCTCCGCGCGGGTGGAGGGGGTGCTGGACCCTTTCCACTTCCCCGCCCCGCCCATCCTCGAGCTGGCGCCGGGTCCTCGCCCGGTGGACGCCCACTTTCCAGGGCCAGGGGGGGGAGCCGAGGGTGCCCAGCAGAGTTCTCTCCTTTCTGGTTCGGCACCCTCCTGCCTTCACCCACGTGCTGTGTTGTTGTCGTTCGGTGCAGACCATGTCCAAGTCTCTGAAGAAGTTGGTGGAGGAGAGCCGGGAGAAGAACCAGCCGGAAGTGGACATGAGTGACCGCGGCATCTCCAACATGCTGGACGTCCACGGCCTGTGTGAGTGCCGGGCCGGCCGGCCCTGGGAGGGGCTGGAAGGGCTGCAAGTTTCCCAAGTCACTGCCGGCCACGGTGTGCGAGGTTGGAATGGCTTATGGTCCACCCTCTGCTTGTAAACATCACTTGTCAAGACCTTAGCTCAGAAAGTTTGCAATCAGAATGATGGAAACTTGATCGCTGAAAAACGCGCGTGGGGACCAGGGCAGGAGTCACACAGAGACAGGGCTGCTGCTGTTCCCCAGCAGTTGTCTCTGCGGATGTGTGGCATCTGGGGGTGGGCTGTCCACACGGTTTACTGAGTAGCCACTTTATTTTTTAATTGAAAATCATTTTTTTTTTTTTAAACTCTTCTTCTTTTCTCCTAATATAGTCTTTGGCCCTTGAACAAATGCCGCACAAATGTTACATGATTAAGTGTTCTTGTGCCTGGAGTGTGTTAAACATTTCTTGGCTCATTACCATTTTGTGGGTTTGCTCTCTTTAGTTTAGACTTTTTTGTCATTTCCAGCTTGTGCTATTGTGATGTCTTCCTAACTTTACCACTTGCCTCCAGGTTTACGGACCCTGTGGTCTAGTCTCTATTGGTCGCAGTGCTATTTTTTCCTGTAACACAGGTCTCTTGTGTTATTTTGTCCTTTAAATCAGGGAATCAAGGAATGCAAACTCAAAGGTGGTGGTGGTGGGGTAATCATGACCTCTTTAATAGTATCCCACCTACTGCTCAGATCCAAACAGTTGTTACCACCTGCAGAAGTTTCGTCAGTGTTGCCAGAATGTTTTTGTTTGTTTGTTTTGTCTTTTAAGAAACCAAGTATCCAGCCGAAACCGGTTTGGCTCAGTGGATAGAGCGTTGGTCTGTGGACTGAAAGGTCTCAGGTTCGATTCCGGTCAAGGGCATGTGCATTGGTTGCGGGCACATCCCCGGTAGGGGGTGTGCAAGAGGCAGCTGGTTGATGTTTCTCTCCCTTCGACGTTTCTAGCTCTCTATCCCTCTCCCTTCCTCTCTGTAAAAAATCAATAAAATATATTTAAAAAAAAAGCAAGTATCCAGGTGATATTTACCAAATTTCAGAAGTTAGTGATTAATTTCAGTATTTGAAAAATACTTTACAAAGGTGAAATAATATACTCTTCAGGCTGAATGTAGCCTCAGTTTTGACCTTCTCTCTTAAACACCTCTGGTTGCTCATTACCAGCAGTAATGCTCCAGTTTCCTTGGCATGACATGCAGGGCCTTCCTGTATCTGACCACAGCCTACCTTAGGTCCGTCCCCTCCATGCGTTTGGTGAACCAGCCATTCTTCCTCACTGCCCTTCCTGAGCCAGGGCACACACTTTCAGGTTTGTATCCCTTTACAAGTATTGTTTCCTCCCTCTTCACTCTTCTTTACCCAAAATGTTTATCAAGAGTCAGCACAGACGTCCCAGCCTAGGGAAAGCCTCTGTCTGTACCAAGCTGACATACCGTGTTTCCCCGAAAATAGAACATCCTCCGAAAATAAGACCTACTTACAGGTTTCCTTCTGAGTGAAATATAAGGCATCCTCCCCAAAATATGCCCCCCCCCCCCCCCCAGGCTCTGTCTCAGAATGCTTTGCTAAACATGAGAGATTTGGTCCACTGATTCTGAAAGAAATGGAGTCACAAGAAATTCACCAGGAAATTCAGGAATTGGATTGTTATGATGATGTTCCAGAAGATGATGACATGCTTGTCATTGAATAAAGGAGTAAATTCTTGATACGGTAGGATTCACAGTTTGTCTGGTTTGTGTTGACAACTACTGTACTATCGTACCATATATACAGGTAATAAATTTCCTTCTTCATGGAAAAATAAGACATCCCCTGAAAATAAGACCTAGCGCATCTTTGGGAGCAAAAATTAATATAAGACACTGTTTTATTTTCGGGGAAACAGGGTAGTTAGTTAACCCTCTCTTCTATGGAGTTAGACATACCTGGTTTCATGACCCTTGTTACACAGGATTGTAACATGCTGTTTCTCTTCCCCACTGGGAGCCTGGAGGGGCTTAGCGCTGTGCAAAATTCATATTTGCCTTCTTTCTAATATTGCCTGGAACACAGTAGATACTCATAACGGTTGATGGATGAAAGAAAGAAGGCTGGATTAGGCCCGTGAGTTCATGAGATCCACACTAGTTTTTGTCAGTGGAGAATAAGGGGGGTGGTCCAGGAGACCCCAGAATATAATGGATTGCTTCTTAGGCCTGGAGAGAGCAGAGTCAGATTTACTGTGACTCTGTGGTTTGTGCCTGGGACAGACATGGGGCATGGTGCCATTGATACATCTCTGAAAAGTTGATGAAATTTGTAAATTCTTAGGAAGATACCTGCCATTAGGCTTAGCTTTTGTACTAATTAGCATCTCAGCCTCCTGCTATGTGTTGGCCTCTCTCAGTGGTGATGGCTTCCCAGGGGCAGCAACGGAGCAGATGTCTCTGGTGCTGAATTGGCACTTGTAGGCCTGGATGTGTCCCCGAGCTGGTCCTGCTGATCACCGGGGACACCGCCGCAGTGGAGGGAGGAGGTGGGGAGCGGCATGCATCTTCTCATGGGCTTGAAGAAAGAGGTTGCTTTCAGCAAAAAACAAAAAACATATTGCTCAGCTTTCAAGAGGATTTTTTTTTTCCTGTAATATTTATAAGTAAGGAGAGTGGTGTAGCTATATTGGTTCAGTTGTGTTATCTCTCTTGAGGCCTTGACTTTTACCGAAGAGAAAAGAGCCACTTGCTTCCTGAAAAAGGTGTTTCCGTCATCCTATGAGGAGGTGGAAAGTAAGATCATTCTTAATTTTTCCAGGAGAGCATACTAAAGGAAGAATGTACTTCCTGGCGAGTTCAGTGGAAGTGAGTTTGGCCGCTGGAGTGTGTGTAGACCCAAGGAGTGGCTGCTTTCTGCGATAGCTCCCTGACTTCTGGCTCTCGGAGGGTTCTGAATGCCTTCCAAAGCCAACTCCTCCTGGGATCCCTTTGTCTGCACATCTTATTAAAATATTTGATGAGATTATGTTAATTGCAGCATGAGAAGTCATAGCCTTTTACTTGTAACATTTTTTAGCTTCTTATCATGTAGTTTTATGAATAGTTTTATTGGTTTAGTGCTAAGATAAGCCTCTTATCTTTGGAGAAACTGAAAAAAGTGTAAGGACATTAAAGGGAAACTATGAGACACAATAACCATTCTCTTTCACTGAACTCCCCAGGAAGTATGTTCATTCTTATCTCCACAGATAAGAATGGATATTTGTACTTATTCTCTTTTGAGCTGTCCATCTGTCTGCCTGCCTGGGAGAGTTGTGTCTTAGAAGGGCAGGACTTCCTCTGAGACAGTACCTGGCTTTAAAAAATGTTTTCAGGAGCTTAGAGACCAAAAACTTTCTGGTGGAGAAAACTTCCTGGGCCAGCAGACAGGTTCTAGAGTTTCCTGTCTGAAGCTGGACACTCAGAAGTGGGGCCTTGGAGTGGAACAGAGTGGCTTCAGATTCTCCATCTTCTATTTATTACTGTAGAGAAGCTGCTTAACCTTTCTGTGCCTCAGTTTCCTCATTGTCAAATGGAGATGTAAGTAGCCATTTGGTTGGATTAGTTTAATGTAGTGGTTGGCAAACTCATTAGTCAACAGAGCCAAATATCAACAGTACAACTATTGAAATCTCTTTTGAGAGCCAACTTATTTAAACTTAAACTTCTTCTTACGCCACTTCTTCAAAATAGACTGGCCGAGCCCATGATATTTTGTGGAAGAGCCAATCTCAACTGGCCAAAGAGCCGCATGTGGCTCGAGAGCCGCAATTTGCCAACCCTGGGTTAAGTGTTAAGTACACTGATGTATGTCACTATGCCTGTACATGAAATGTTAACTATTAACCTGTTAACCGAGCGGGACCTATAAATACGTCAAACGTAAACAATATTGGGAACGGGTAGGACGTATGAATACGTCCTTGAAATATATGATGCGCCCCGAGAGGGATGGTGTATATATATATTTTTTAAAATATTTTATTGATTTTTTACAGAGAGGAAGGAAAGGGGAGGGATAGAGAGTTAGAAATATCAATGAGATGAGAGAGAAACACTGATCAGCTGCCTCTTGCACACCCCCCACTGGGGATGTGCCGGCAACCAAGGTATATGCCCTTGACTGGAATCGAACTGGGAACTTTAGGTCCGAAGGCCGACGCTCTATCCACTGAGCCAAACCGGTTTCGGCTATTTTTTGTAATCTTTATCATTGTTTGTAAAATTTATAATTTTTTAATTCGACGTGTCCATTTTTTTCTGTCGGTATTCTTTTCAATTTTTTTGTAATTTTGTATTTTCTTTTGTGCTTTATATATATATAAATAAATGAAAATATATATATATTTCATTTATTTTCATTAAGTATAAATAAAAAAAATAATATGAAATTACATCCTCCGGGCGTGACGTACTGACATGTCCTAGTGAAAGAGTACGCGCCTGTTACAGGTTGCGTCATTAAAAAGGGAACTCCCCGGTTAACAGGTTAATGGGAAGTTCCAGATGGAACTTGGTAAGCCTCAGCTATCACCAGTTCCACCATATTGGCCTGAACCAAGAAGAGCATGGTTAATTAGACAGTGAGGGATTTGCGCCTTGTGGGGATTTTTGTTTAAATCTTTTTTTAAAATTGATTTCAGAGAGGAAGGGAGAGGGAGAGAAAGAAACATCAATGATGAGAGAGAATCATCTATTGATCGCTGCCTCCTACGCGACCCCCCTACACAACCCAAACATGTGCCCTTGACTGGAATTGAACCTGGGACCCTTCAATCCACAGGCTAACTACTCTCTCCACTGAGCCAAACCAACTAGGGCCTGTGTGGATATTTTTTACATGGCTTATTAGGATCTGGAGGGTATGGTACTTTTGCCTAGAGTTGTTATAAATTTAGTTGTTATAATAATTGCTGTTATTTTTTTAATTACCCCTCATTTTTTCTTTTTCTTCGTA